GTTCCAGCTACTTGGAAGGCTGAGGTGGAAGGATCGCTGGAGCCCAGCAGGTTGAGGCTCCGGTGACCAGGATCATGCCACTGCACTCCAGCCTGGGAGACAAAGTGAGACTCCAACTCAAAAAAAAATTTTTTTTAGAGACAAAGTCACACTCGGTTGCCCAAACTGGAGTGCAGTGGCATGATCTTGGCTCACTATAGCCTTGAACTCCTGGACACAAGTGATCCTCCCACCTCAACCTCCCAAGTAGCTGGAATTACACAGGTGCACTGCCATGCCTGGCTAATTTTTTAATTTTTATTTTTGTAGAAATGAGGTCTTGCTGTGTTGCCTAGGCTGGCCTCAAACTCCGGGCCACAAGCAATCCTCCTGCCTTTGCCTCCCAATGTGCTGGGATTACAGTTCTGAGCCACTATGCCCAGCCTTCTTTCTTTTTTAAAAAGCCTTTCCCACCCATAATCCTGTTCCATCATCATAATGATAGATTCTGGGAACATCATAACCTTGGCTCCCTAGGCACCTCCAGAGATCGTGATTCACTCTTTCCTCCCAGGCTCTACAGCAGACTGAAGGGCCCAGCACAGAGAGGATGTGGGTCCTAATACTCACCCAGCGAAATCCTGGACACCTCATCCGAGGTACCCCAAGTCTCTTGTCTCCTCTGGCTTGCTCTAATTATGAGTTCTAGCTGGGGAAGGTTGGGGGAGAGTATCCGTTCAAACTGTGATCATTACCTTCCTTCCTACCGCCCACCCACATGGCAAGTGTTCGATCAGTATCAGCGGAACACCGGGCAAGAGTGGGAAGAAGCCATCCGGACCCGTTTCCATGGAGAGAGTCAGGTGGCCCTGCTTGGCCTAGGTAGGAGCCTGCTCAGGGTATGTGGAGTGGGGGGGCTCTCTCTGGGATGGGAAGCCGTGGCCCAGCTGTGAGCCTCCACCTTCCCTCTTTGCTTCCAGCTTCCGTGATCAGGAACACACCGCTGTACTTTGCTGACAAGCTTCACCAAGCCCTCCAGGTGAGAGGGTCTCTCCTTCTCTCTCCCCTTGGAACAAAGACTGGGGGAGATACCTGGCAGGAGAGAGGACATTTCAGAGTGCTGCTGATTTTTTTTTTTTTTTGAGTTGGAGTCTCACTCTGTCGCCCAGACTGGAGTGCAGTGGCCGCTCCCGGCCACTGCAGCCTCGACCTGCTGGGCTCCGGCAATCCTTCCGCCTCAGCCTTCCGAGTAGCCAGAATTACAGGCATGCGCTACCATGCCCGGTTGATTTTTTGATTTATTGTAGAGATGAGGTCTCACTGCCCAGGCGGGTCTCGAACCCGCGGGCTCAGGCAATCCACTCACCTCAGCCTCCCAAAGGCAAGGGATTACAGGCTGGGCCACCGAGCCCGGCTTTTTT